TCCTTCAGATTGAGAAATGCCAAGTTTGGTTTTCTAATTCCAGATCTTAGCATATTTCATTATACTTTGTCTTCTCCAGCCACCCTTCGAAATCTTCTGTCTTCTTGAACTGCCCTTTGAAGTCTGTCCAGCTCTTTATCTCTTCCATTTGCTTCAGCTACTCGATGTTCCAGAGGAAATTTCAGAGTCTCTTCTGGCATCCATTTTGGACTTTCCTTCCTTTCCTGTCTTTGTAATGACTTTTTACTTTACTCATGTGTGATGTTCTTGATGTCATCCCACAACTCCTCTGGTCTTTGATCATTGGTGTTCAGTGCATCAAATCTGTTCTTCAGATGGTCACTAACTTCAGCTGTGATATAATCAAGGTCACATTTTGGCTCTAGTGGACTTGTTTTAATTTTCTTCAGCTTCAATTTGACCTTGTGTATGACCAATTGATGGTCTTTTCCACTGTTAGCTCTTGTCCTTCTTTTGACTAATGATATTGAGCTTCTCCATCACCTCTTTGCACAGATGTAGTCAATTTGATTCCTGTGTATTCCATCTGGTGAGGTCCACATGTATAGTTTGCCATTTATGTTGTTGAAAGAAGGTATTTGCAATGAGCAAGTTGTTGGTCTTGCAAAATTCTATCATGTGATCTCTCTCCACTGTCATTTCTATCACCATAGCCATATTGTCTAACTACTGATTCTTCTTCTTTTCTGACTTGGCATTCCAATCACCAGTAATTACCAATACATCTTGATTGCATGTTTGGTCAGTTTCATACTGCAGAAGTTTCTTCATCTTTCACTTTAGTGGTTGGTGCATAAATTTGAATTATAGTAGTAGTGATTGGTTTTCCTTGTAGGCATATGGACATTATCTCTGACAGAACTGTACTTCAGTATAGATCTTGAAATGTTGTTTTTTACAATGAAAGTGACACTATTCCTCTTCAATTTGTCTTTCTTGGCATAGAAGACCATATGATCATCCGATTGAAAATGGCCAATACCCATCCATTTCAGCTCGCTAATTCCTAGGATATCGATCTTTATGCATTCCACTTAATTTTTTATAATTTCCAATTTTCCTAGATTGATATTTGTAAACTCCACATTCCAATTATTAACAAATATTTCCAGCTGTTACTTCTCATTTTGAGTCATGCCACATCAGCAAATGATGGTCCCAAAAGCTTTTCTCCATCCACGTCATTAAAGTTCCCTGTACTTTGAAGAGACAGCTCTTCCCCAATTGTATTTTAAGTGCCTTCCAACCTGAGGGGCTCATCTTCCAGCACTATATCAGATACTCTTTCACTGCTATTCGTAAGATTTTCAGTGATGAGTTTTTTCAGAAGTGGACTGCCAGGTCCTTCTTTTTAGTCTGTCTTAGTCTGAAAACTCAACTGAAACCTATCCACCATGGGTGATTCTGTTTGAAATACTGGTGGCTTAGCTTCCAGCCTCACAGCAACACACCAGCCACCACAGTACAACAAACTCACAGACAAGTGGTAAATGCAAATGGATGCAGTGCTGAGATGCTCACTTATTTATGCCAAGGAACTTGGAAGACCTGGCCAACCAGCTAGAAGAAATCAATATTTGTACTCATTACAGTGAAAGGTGATCCAACAGAATGTGGAAAGTATCAAACAACATCATTAGTATCACATACAAGTAAAATTTTGCTGAAAATAATTCAAAAATAGTTGCAGCAATATATTGACAGGGAACTGCCAAAAATTCAAGCCAGATTCCAAAGAGGGTATGGAATGAGAGATATTATTGCTGATGTTAGGTAGATCTTGGTTAAAAGCAAAAAATACTAGAAAGATGTTTACCTGTGTTTTATTGACTATGCAAAGGCATTAGACTGTGTGGATCATAACAAATGTATAACATTGTGAAGAATGGGAACTCCAGAACCCTTAATGGTGGTCATGTGAAACCTGTACATAGACCAAGAAGCAGAACAAGGGGATACTGCATGGTTCAAAAATCTGGAAAAGCTTGTATCCTTTCACTATGCTTACTCAATTTGTATGCTGAGCAAATAATCTAAGAAGCTGGACTATATGAAAGAAGAACATTACATCAGAATTGGAGGAAGAATTGTTAAGAACCTGCAATATGCAGATGACACAACCTTCCTTGCTAAAAGTGAAGAAGACTTGAAGCACATACTGTGAATTACACTTCAACATAAAACAAAATTTCTCCCAACTGGATCATAATCAACATCATGGTAAATTGAGAAAAGATTGAAGTTGTCAGGGATTTTATTTTACTTGGATCCATAATGAGCACCTATGGAAGCAGCAGTCAAGAAATCAGACATCGTATTACATGGGGCAAATTTGCCACAAAAGACCTCTTTAAAGCGTTAAAGAGCAGTGATGTCACTTTGAAGACTTATGTGTGCCTAACCCAAGCCAGGGTATTTTCAGTTGCCTCAGATGCATGTGAAAGCTGGACAATGAATAAGGAAGACGGGAGAAGAAGAATTGATGCAATTGAATTGTGGTGTTGGTGAATAATACTGAAAATACCATGGACTGCCAGAAGAATGAACAGATCTGTCTTGGAAGAAGTACAGCTGGAATGCTCCTTAGAAGCAAGAATAACCAGACTTCCTCTTATGTACTTTGGTCATGTGGTCAGAAGGGACCAATTCCTGAAGAAGGATGTTATGCCTGGTAAAGTAGAGGGTCAGTGAAAAGGGTGGAGAGCCTCAATGAGATGGATTGACAGAGTGGTTGCAACCAAGGATTCAAGCACAGTACCAGGCAATGTTTCATTCTGTACATAGGGTCTCTCTGAGTCGGAACTTACTCAATAGCACCTAAGGATGATAGCAACATATGAGGAAGGCCATTACTATTTATTGAGCATGTTCCATTGTTCATGTGTCATAACATTTAATCTTGTCAACAACCCTCTAAGATAGGTATTTTTACCCTTATTTTGTAGATAAAGAAATTGAGACTCAGAGCAATGAGTAAAATATCCAAAGTCAAACAGCAGGTGTGGAAGCAGAGAGCGGTCTGTTTGACTGCAGAGCCCTATGTCATCCTCCTTCATTGAGAAACACAAACATGCACAGTCTGGGCTCTCTAGAAGCTAAGCCAGAGATACTAGCTGTGTAGGCTGATAGACATAACAATTTACATACACACATTATAAATTTGTTCTCACTCACTCTCCACAATAACTCTTAACAAATGGTAGTAGTGCTAGTGGTATGTAGTGCATGATGTAGGTGGTATTGTTAGTGTTATTAGTATGTATGTGCTTGAATATCTATAACTCAAGGCAGACTGATAAATGATCTGTGGGAACCAAAAGGGAGAAGGGACATTACTTGTAGTGGTATTGGGGAGAGCTTGACTCAGACATTGGGAAAGCAGTCATTTAATCTAGGCCTTGAAAGATAGGAATAGCTTCTGTATAGGTTTTTTCTGTCATCAGCAGTTGACTGAAGGTATGTCTCAAAGAAGTAACTTGGTCACATAACCAATTGTCAGAGCAGGGATTATAATTTCGTTTGCCTTACCCTTTACCTAGGACCCTTACCCTTGTCTAGGGCAGCATACTGTGAAAGACCCATTGGCCTTCGTCTTTGACATCTCTTTGTGAGCAAAACTATGTCCCAGATTTCTTTTGGCTTCCTGAAACAGTGTGTGAGGTTAAGGGAGAGAGAAGTTGCGAAAGATTAGGGTGTGTGCTGGATCAACCACTCCTTAGGAGTCAAAGGATCCTGATTCTGCAGTTGATCTTCTGTGTTTGTAGCCTTGGACCTCAGTTTCCTTATCTGTAAAATGGCTTTATAGAGCAAAGTTTCTCAAACTTTTGCATGCATCTGAATTACCTGGAGGGCTTGTTAAAGATTGCTGGGTCCCACCCCCAGAGTTTCTGATTGAGTAAATCTGAGGTGGAACCTGGGAATTTGCATCTAACAAGTTCCCAGATGATGATGATGATGATGATGCTAATTCAGGGACCAAAGTGTGGGAACCATGAAGATCATCTCTGAGATCTCGTTTCTTCTTCTTTAGTAATCTATTTAAAAAGTCTAATGGCATAGAAAGCTGATAGGGTGGGCCATATAGCTGCAACTAAGTATGCTACCTTGAGAAGTCATTTAGCTTTTCCCTACCTGTTTCTACATCAGAAAAGGGGGGGCTTGACCTCAGTAAAGTGGAGTTCATAGTTCCCTGTAGCAACAGATGAAAGAGAGAATCAAGTCTGTCATTTAAAAGAAACCACCCGTTTTGAAAAGAATACCCTATCACTTATCAGTTGTGCATAATCCATGTACGAAGTGAAGATTCTACTTTAATAGAACCCTTGAGGAAACTGCAGACCACCTTTAAAGTGAAAATGTTAACAGAAAATGACTCCTGTTTCCCTCTTTATAAAGAAAAGGAAGCTTAGTGCAAAGGGAAGTGTTCCCATGGAGAATATGTATTTAAAATCCAAATGACCCATGAGGGACCCCCCTCCTATTGGCAGATGAAGAAAAGTTTCCCTTCTATCTATTTAACAAATTAATAAAAAGGAACATAAATAAAAGAGAATAATAACTCAGAGCTATCTGGGCACCTGAGTCTGAGAGCCCTTTAGGGCCTTGGCACCTAAAGAGAAGGGGGAAAAAAGACCCCTGTTTCCTGGGCTTTGAAAGTGGCCTTCCTTGAGGCATTAGGGAAGCTCTTGGGACCCTAAGAGCTGAAGGGCTGTGTTGCCTGGAGCATGAGTCTGATCCAATACAAATCTAGGGGAAAGGGGGGAAGGCTGGTAAGTAATTTTGCTGTTTCATTTAGTGCCGAAGAAAAGGCAAAACACCAGAATATTCAATGAGCCAAAGCAGAAAATGTGCCATAGGTTTGCATGTAGGGCGACCCCCTCTGAAGAACATTTCTAAGCCTGAATGAAGCACTCACTGTCAAGGCTAATGTACAATAGCATGCATTTTAAACCATGGTGATCCTTTTGTTTCTCTGATAGGCGAAGATGAGGATGAATTTGAGAATTTCATGCTGCCTCTTACAGTCTCTTTTGAAACAGTATTACAGATATTCAACAACAACTTTAAACAAGAAGATGTAAAGGTGGGTTTGTTTCCCAACACAAGGAAAGACAGTTTTGCTTTTCATCGTATATCTAGATTCATAAAATGGTTTTGCATATCTTTGTGTGCTCCCTGCCTCATCAGTCCTGCTTTCTCAGGTGCATATAGCTCTTTTCTAGTTTCTGATACAAAACCAACTCTGAGATCAGCAAATGGTTTCAGCCAGTCAGCTCATGATTAGACGACACAGATTTGTTGCTGGTGGCTGTTAGTATCTTTAATAGAGTATTTCTTTTGAGCATACTACTTTAAATATCCCTATTCCCTCATCTGAATCGACTCACCAGCAATGGGTTTGATTTCTGGGGGATTCCCTCATCTACCGTACATTGAATGTTTCAGTATATTTATATGGAGGAACGCACAAACATAGACATGCTAAAACAGTACATCTCTAAATATTTTTTTTAAACAAGAATTTGTATAAATCAAGGCTTTATTAAATGGCTAGGCATATATGTATAAATAGGAGCTGGTCTTGAAGTATTGCATTCTTAAAGTGAACAAAGTGATTAGGATAACTGATAGCTAAATAAGGTTTTTATGTGCCTGTGGGAGCCATATTAGGATTGATTTGACAAGTCAGTTCAGCTGTGGCAACAGTCATAATATCTAAGACAACATTATGTTTTATTAGTAAAATCCTTAAGTGTAGCAAGCTGTTTGTGACAAAACAGCCCCATATTTTAAGATGGGGGATGGGGAGCACAAGATTAGCTAAGTGGAAATAGCATCTCTTAAAATTACAGTTACCAGAGCTATATTAGATAGATTGACACTGATTATTATTTTTAAAAGACTAATAAATGCACTCCAGAGAATGCAAGCACCTTTGCTGATGATGCTTTGAGTCATATTTTATTGTTATTTTGATATATGCTGGAAATATTAGTGTCATTTTGCATGCTTGTCTTCTCTTCACCAAAAAAAAAAAAAAATTAGTAGTAAAAAGCCAAATAAACAGTGGATGGCCTTTGATGCTTTGATACATTTGGTAGTATAACTCTTCTACCAAAATTTACCTAGCCAAATACTATACTTTTTTAATTTAAAACTTTTATCAGCATATCATAGCCACAAAATTTTAAGAACCAAAAAGGACCTTACAGTTTTTCTTTGTGTTTATATTCCTGCTGAAATTCTTCTTCAGTGTTTCCACTCTAGATAGCTAGCTGTATTTTTTTTTAGATGTCTTTGCATAATTTAATGACTAACAAGCCTTTGCAGCTTTAAAGTGGCTGTTGATGCCCTTTATCAAAGAGAAACAGATCGAAAAACACGATCTTTAGAAAAACTACATTTGTCTCATTTGAAGATTTCATTATACTCTGAGCCTGTTTTGATGTAATCCCATCTAGTTTGATAGAAACCATCTTCCTAGAGTCATTTTTAATGGAGTTCCAGTGATATATCCCTAAACCAGCAAGTTCTTAACGACCCTGGAAAGTGACTGCTTGATTACACTTTAACGGTATTTGCAAATAAAATCACAAGTAATTAAGGGGAAATCTCCAGGCTTTTGAGCAAGTTTGATGCATGATAACTGCCTGATTCAGCTTCATCTAGAGTAATGCTGTGTAGGCAACAGCTACTGAGATCAATAGCAACGTAATGATAGTGGCAGAATTAAGTGAGTAACCTGAGAACTGTGCCTCAGAATGCATGCAGCTGCCACGAACCAAGGCCACACAGTGCACTCCGTGCTTCCGTCCTAAATGTTCATCAAAAGACGCCCTGCAGGAAAATGGAGTTAGATGCTCTTTATTGCTGATCGTGTCTCTTGCCACATTTATCAGGGAAATTGGATTAGCAGTTGGCAGCTGCAGGTAGACAAGATTCTGCAGTGATTAAATATGCAGCTTGGCTGCATTTGTTGTGACAGACCTTTAGTAAATTCTACTGTAAGCACCATCTGTCTAATTTGTATAAAGAAAACTTGGTGCTTTAAGCTACCGATAAAGAACTAAATCTGTTGCTTTATCATAAACAAAACTTTTGCACTAAATGCTTTTAAATGTAATTTATTAGGTTAAGGCTATTTTTCTATCATGATGAATAAATAATACATGCAAAAGTGCTTTTAGGTACTTCATTTTGCAAGTACTAGATATAAAAACAGTTCTGTTTTGTTCTTCAATAAAGTATTTAGTATTCCAATCCACAGGAGGTGATGCTGTTAAAATATCTCTATGAAAATGCCGCAGGACTGCCAAATTCATTTAATTTGCAACCCTTACCAGGATTTTCTAACTGCCTATTTATAGATATTTTTGAGATGCAGATTTCAGGATGAACGTAAACATTAAGGACCTATGTTGCCAAATTGAAATATGGTTGTGAGGGGAAAGAATGCCGCAAAACTCTTATATTTATAGCTTTGTTTTTTTACTTAGTCCTAATAAAATTGAAGAGAACATTGAATTTTTGTCTTGGGTTTTTCTGTTCAAAATAAAGAAGAAAAGAAAGAAAATGCTGTAACAAATCCTGGCTCCAGAGCATTATTTCAAAATATAAGTTTTCTCCCCCTAAAATTGCATCCATAGTGAAATACAGTTCAGTACTCTCCTGACTGATGTATCATTTTTGATTTGGCTATGATGTCATTGATTTTAAGGAAAATGAATGAAAACTTCTCGGAGGAAGAAGAGCAGTTAAATAGGAACCTACTATCTTTAGTCCCTTCGTAAAAACTCCACAATGTTAAATTATTTAAAATCCTTGATTTTCAGCATGCGCACATTAAAAGTTTTCGCACTAAGTGCCAAATGTTGCAAACAGCACTTTAACAGAATGATTTTGCTTTGATCCCTGTAGCAGTTCCTGAATAATTTATCACAGGTTATTGCCTTAATTCTGGAGAGGGATAGAGCAATAAAGGCAGATGAAAACACTCCAGTTGAAACACCTTGGGGCCTGCTCATTCCTCTGACACGGCTCTTTTGTTGGAACTATTTAGAGGTTATTAAGATGTGTCTCCAGAATTAAGAGTATGCTGTAAGGATGAAGACAGCCATCTTAATTCTAAAGACAAAGCACAATGACCCTTCACCTTCTTTTTCTTTGTTGTTATTATATCGTAGAATTATGAGGATAATATTATAGCTGCCCCCAGTAGTGCCACTACAGTAAAGGGTCTGTCAGACTTTCCATTAGAAACCCTGTTTTGGGGGTCAGGGTGGAAGAAGCCACGTTTCAGCTGTTTCCCAGCCCATCAGTCTCACACTTGGCACACAGACAACTGTTCACTGTACAGCCGACTGAAGTACTCAGCAGTTTCTCCTTTAATACCCAAAAAGGAATCCTTAGGGTTATCTACCCCAGACTATCCCACTCCCCAAAACAGCCTCACTAAATATAAAGGTGCCCTTGCTTTTCAAATCAATCAAGTGTTGACCAATCATATAGTATTTATAGAAGAGGAGACAGGCAACTTTTAAAATAGACCTCTTTGTACTATCTTAAGCAAGCCCTGTTAGTGCAGTGGGTAAAGCCCTCAGCCGCTAACCAAGAGGTCTTCAGTTCAAACCCACCAGCCGCTTCATGGGAGAAAGATTAGCAATCTGCTTCTGTAAAGACTTACAGCCTTGGAAGCCATGTAGGGCAGGTCTCCTCTGTCTTATAAACTCTCTATGAGTCCGAATCAACTGGGCAACAGTGGGTTTAGGTTTGGTACTGTTTTAAATGAGATGGTAAGTTGTGGCTCCACCCTTCATAAATTTAAATCAAATCACCTCTCTCTCTTGTTTAGTAGCCTGTTGAGGAGCCTTAGCTCCTGATTAACAGGGTTTTTGTGTGTGTGTGTGTCATACCAGAACTAGGTCTGTTTCAGCTATGGAGAAAGACTACCTTAGTGTTGTTTGTGAATCTCTGTAGATTATTGTAGTAATATCTGCCGCTTTGAACATAAGTAATCTGTTTCTTACTCACATGAACATTTTATTTTCCTACTCAATTGAATCTATTTAAAATATGAATTTAGTTATTAAATTGTTATATGCTTCCTCTGCTCTGCAGTAGCATTTTCTAAAATAAAAATTTTGGTATAATAGATTCTCTGTCGATTGGAGGACTTCTATTAACTTGACATCTTTTAAGGAAGGAAAACTTATGATAAAATATAAACCTTTATGTCTAATGGAGATAACCTAAAATATTATTTCATTAAGAACCTTTTGTACTAGGCACAAAGGAAGTGAAAATCGGGTTCCTGTTGACTAATTTACAGTTGAGTTTTAGGTACCTTATGTGTTGTGAGAGTTTAAGATTAGTTGAATAATGACTTGTAAGTATACATAATAAAAATAGAACAAAAGGCCACTTTAATAGAGAGAATACAAAACTAAGCAGTGAGAATAGAATTGTTGGAAAAGACTTGTTAGAAGATGTGTTTTCTTCCAATGGCTGGAACAGATTAAGGTGGTGAAAATAGATTACTTAAATGGCAAAATGGTCTTTTTAAAAAAAAAATAGCAAGTCACATGAGAGAACTTCAAGTAAGCCAGCCAGTTATATAAAAACAAGAACCGGGGAGATTTTGAGAAAAGAAAAAGGAAGTTGTTTAAAGAAGCAGAAATTCAGTATTTGTGTGTAGAAATTCAAATAGCCATCTTTCTATAAACTGCTAGGCTGCACACAAACAGGATATCTTTGAAACAACATCCGGTTTATATTGAGCCACCTTTTAGATACAAAGAAGAAAATAAAATTCCCAATGCTCTGACAGTTAGATAAACTATTATATGCTACTTTGAAATGTTATTTAGCTATTAAGATGAGGTCAGGACTCATTTCTACCTTAATGATAATCATAAACTCCTTAAAGAGGTTTCCATTTGTTACCAGAATGTAAGACAAGAAAAAAATCTGGTCAGGTATCATTTTCTGGCAGAATGTTTCCCCTGAAACAGTATCTTCAGAAATCACAGTATCATATCTCAATTATCCCACCCCCTTGTTTTGCAATTATGTTTATTTGTGCTCTTTGTTCTGACATTCTGACATCTGTTCCTTGGTTTTCTTCTTCTTCCCAAGCGTCACCCTAAGGACAGCTCTATTAGGATCCAGGGTGCAAGTGAGACCGCCTTCCTTTAAGAGTCAAGTGTTTTCCCTCTAAAAGTAAATCCTTATGGAGCACCTAGTATGTGTTAGGTTCTGTGCTAGGCATTTTTCCATAAGCTTATTAAATGTATTCCTCACAATAGTTTGTGAAAAAGGAAATTTTAGCCCCCTTCATAAATGACAAACAGACTGCTGATATGCTTTGCCTTAAGTTTTAGAGTTAAGAAGTAGAGCTAGACTCAAAATTCCAGTCTTCTGGCACTGAGTGTAAAACTCTCTTTACTCCTTGCTTGGGGAATACAATTACCATTCTGGGTATGTCATAGTACCTATAGGTCACCAGGCCAGTTGTTTGTTTATTTTAGAGCAGGGTTTTTTTTTTTTTTTTTGTCCTAAGTTATTAAGGATATTCATTAGAGACTTTTAAATGCCAGCGACTCCAAATTGTGTGGTGCGTACAAGCCAATGTGGTTAAAATTAGCTATTATTAAATAGTGTCTAGACTGTACATTTCTGTTTTGTGAAATTATCAATTTGGGGCTTTTTTTAAAATTTGGCATTATTCAAAAACAAAGTATATTAAGAACCTAAACGTTCCTAAGCTGCTAGAATTATGACTTAGTTCAATTTATAAAAAGTGAGGTAGAGTTGGTCAGCAGATTTGATGGTCTGTTTGTTTAAAGGGTCCGTGAGTCTATGGTTTTCTATAGAAAGGGATCTGAGCGAGACATTTTAGCTAATGAATCAAAATCAGATATGTGGTCATTATTGCCTGATTATTACTCCATCTGCTCTGCACTAACGTGAAAATCAATTACTGTGTCTCTTCCCACTGACAGCGTATGTTGATCGGGCTGGCAAGAGATCTTCGAGGGATTGCCTTTGCACTGAACACAAAGACCAGCTACACCATGCTGTTTGACTGGATGTATCCTTATTACACTGTGACAATACCAGCTCTGTGCACAGAGGGATGCCAGGCCCCTCGCTTTCGTTTAATAGTATGGCACAGTAGGGAAGAGGAAACAAAGCTAAATGAACTAATGTGTAATCAGCTAAAAATTACAGCACAGTGGCAGCAGTGCAGATAACTGAGCACAGCATTTGGAGACCCAGCTCAAAAAGGTCACTTTTTGGGGGCCATTAAATATTGACAACTTAAAAATCACCTCCCCAAATGATTGTTCGTATTGCAGGGTTGCAGGGATAATCCAGCTAACGTCTTTAACTCAGAATCCATGAGTCCTACCATTTGGCATTGTTGAGGAGATTTGAATCTCTACTCCATCTCAATTAGCAGGACTGAGGATGTCACTTTTATCTCTTTGAGGCTTAACTCGTCCTGCTATAATTTTTCATCATCATGAAAATATTAGTGGACTGGAAAAGGAAAATAAATGGTTAGAATTTTTCATTTGGTGTAAAATTTGAATTTACCTTTGCTAAGACTTAGGACAGGCAGCAAAAAAAATTAAACATCTCACGCAGAAATGCCTCATCATGGAAGAGTAAAAAGAGTATGGCCTTTGGTGTCAGACAAATCATGCTTAAAATCCCAGCTCTCCGTTTACTCTGTAAACCTGGGCAAGTCCCTTCACCTCATGGCTTTTTGTGACATTTAGAACAGATAATGTACACTTTGTTAATGTCTGCCACATACTTCTTGTTGTTTTGCGGTCGAGTCGGCCCCGACTCATAGTGACCCCTCCTTGGGTTTCCGAGGCACTATCACTACGGAAGTAGGATTGCCCAACCTTCCTTCCGAGGAGTGGCTGGTGGGTTTGAACCGCCAGCCTTCTGGTGAACAGTCAAGTGCTTTAGGCACTATGCTACTAGAGCTCCTGCCACATACTTTGTGGTCCTAAATGGTTATCATTTGTATTGTTTTAGGAATTAGTATTATAAGAATCATCATAAGTCTTAACAGGAAATGATAATCTATGCAAGTCATTTGAGTATAATGTAATGACTTTCATGCCTTTTATACATGAAACCATCAGAGCACATAAAGAAAAATTCTGTAGTCTTAAAGTTAATGTATTTTTCAAGTTATGCTATTTCTTAGTTGCTCTGTTCAAACCCTTCCTACTCAAACATCTCATAAGTTAAATTATAATAGAAGCTTCTTATAAGATAATTTTCAACTACTTTTACCACAGTTATGGCTAGAGATGTACCTAAAAGGGGATCTTGGCATGTTTTAGGGAGAACTATACATTAAAATTCTTTGAGAGATTAATTTGAGTAGTTGACATGTTTTTGTTACTATTAAAATCTATTTCATTGGACTTATGTGCCCAAGGAAGGGATAGGGATAAGAATCTTCGATATCACTGAGGCATCATGTATCTCTAAATTAGCATGTAATGTACATGTACAGAGATCGGAAATTTTAACTTAGAAAATCACACAGTTCATTTAACCACGAAGGGTAATCTGGAATTACATATAATCCTTTTATTTTTCTAAACGTACACAGCAGCTAGCTAGTTCCTAAAATAAAGACTTTTCATTTATTTGAAACATCATAAAAATCTAGTATTGGCACTTTGGAATTGATGATGATCTTGAAGCCAAACTACAACCTCAGATTGCATCACAATTAACATTCATATTTTCCTCGTCAGCAGTTTTAACCAAGAATCAAGGTCAGAACCTTTCCCCTCAATGTCAAGGAATGAAAATAACTGTCATAATTGATACTGACTAATATTTACAGAAGATATAATTTGAGTTTTTAATTAAGACTTTCACATACTCTCATTTAGCTTTCTTTTTCTGGCACCAGTTGGAAATGAAACTTTTGTCCAGCAGATGGCAGAAAATAGCAAACAGAAAACCTTGGAACTTAATGTTTTGTTTTGAACTAGAAACCGTTGTCTTCTCCTTTTGACCATAGATGTTGATGTTATTAGGGTCAGGGGCGGAGGGCGAGTGTCACTTATCCAGGAAGCTGTGTTAGATTGCAAGCAGGGTGGTTTAGTACCTGCCTTGCTTGTAATAATTGAGTTTCAGTAGCAAATCAGCTTCCTTGGGAAAAGGCCAAAGGCTTTTCATAATTGTATTGACAACAAAATGAATATGATAAATGGTGTTCATTCAGTTGAGACAAGATTTATAGTTTTCCTTTGGGCAAGGGATGAAGAGCAAATATTTATAATAATAGTAAAATTTGTTTAAAAGTTACATTATTTGATAATTCAAAAAGCTTTATTAAAATATTTCGAAATACGTTAAGCAGTTTCAGGTGATAAAGTACAAATTCTTTCCAAACTATTCAAGTAATGCAAAAATGAATAAGTATATGATTAAAAAAAAAAAACATTGATATGAAAGTCATTTGTTCTTCCTGAAATATTGATATGTCAAACCGTCAGTGATGATTCCCACATTACTGCTAGAGAAAGTTTATTTGCCTTTTATCCACATAAATGTGTGTTCTTTAATTTGTTATATAGTCCTTAGCATGCAGAGGAAACATCCTATAAGAGCACATGTCATCTTAAAGTCAAAATGCATTTTATTTAGGGAGATTATTTGATAAAATACTGTTTTAGTGGTTAGCTATTTAATTCACAAACATTTCTATAAACACTGACTACATTAACTGCTACACAAACTGCTACATTACTTATCACTATGTCCTTCCAAAACTAAATTGCCTGAAACCATCTATCTTGATAAATTGTTTCCACTGCTGGAGAATTGAAGGAGGATCATTGATATACTTCTTTGCCCCCACTGTAAAAACATTACAGAAGCAAGCACTTTACATTACAGTACATTTAATTGCCTTGTTTAAACTTTCCCTGATTATACTTAGATTGCAGTATCAAAAATAGAAGTTGAGAAAAAAATGGAAAGAATGTATATGATATTATTTCTTCACACTCAGTCATTTAGTTCTCAAAATCTGATCTTTGAGCCACTGTCTTTAAGTCAGGCAGTCAAACTATTTGTTAGTGGCCAGGTCATATGCATAAACACATTACATAAACCAAGACAAGGCAAAACAATGAGATATGTAGGAGAACACAACCTTTGGAATAGGACAGTCTGAGATTCGAGTTTTGGTTTTACCACTTAACAATCTGTGGGATATTCGGTAAGTCATTTAATGTTTCAGAATCTTCTTCCAAAAAACAAGGCTAATAATGATACCTATCACAGATATGTTGTAAGAAGTGAGTAAACTGACATATATAAGGGCCGGGCACAGTTTCTGGCCCAAAATAAATAGTGTTGTTAGTTCTTTTCCCTAATTATAGAATGAAATAAAGGAATCCTGTTAGCTCACTTTTTCAACAATTTGTTCTAGGAATTGTGCCATGTGTTATGAGAGATGTAGATTACTAGAATATAAATCTTACTTTAAAATGAGTTTATAATTTAATAATAGAGTAAGTTAGATACCTACACAATTGACTGGTAATGGCATTAAAAAACCAAACTCCATACTCACTGCCATCCCAAGTCTATCCCAACTCATAACGACCCCTCCTTGGTTTTCCGAGGCGGTATCTCTTTGGAAGTAGATTGCCCAATCTGCCTTCTGTGGAGTGCCTGGTGGGTTTGAACTGCCAGCCTTCTGGTTAGCAGTCAAATGCCTTAGGCACTATGCCACCAGAGCTCCTGGTAATGGCATAGAGCAATTTTATTAAGCTGGGGAGTAAGAGAAGCTCTGTAAAGGTAAAAATACTACCCTGAATCTTACCAAGTTGGTAGGATTGGACCATGTAGAAATAAGAAGAATGACAGGTTTTCAATTGGCCTAAACACCAGGTTTAGGAGTAATAAAGAAGATGTATTATTATAGATGTCACTCATTTCAAGATTAGAAATGTAGATCTTTTGGGACTCTTGAAGTCAGAGTAGGGGAATTTAGACCCTTATCCATAGGTAGTAGAAAGCCATTGATGGTTTTGAGTGGCTAACAAAACAAGAATTTATTTAAAGAAGAGAGTAACTGGCAATATCATGTTGGACACACTGAAATATTGAAGGAAGTAAACCTTAAAAATCACTGTCCAAGCATTTTTGGAATGTCTTCTCTGAGCTAGTCACTAGGAATACAAGCATGAATAAGATGGATTACTCTTTAGAAGCTCACAATCTAATGGCTATGCAAATAACTACTAAATATTAGTGTATTACAACAGAGATTCCACATTGATAATTAATAGTTGGAAAATTAATAATTGGAGTGTGTAATGTACAGGTATGAATCTAGGAAAATTAGAAGTCATCAAAAATGAAATGGAATGCATAAAGATCAACATCCTAAGCATTAGTGAGCTGAATTGGACTGGTACTGGCCATTACAAATTGTACAGACATGGAGTCTGTTGCTGGGAATGACAGACTGAAGAGGAACAGTGTCATATTCATGGTCAAAAAGAACATTTCAGGATCTATCTTGATGTACAGTGTAGTCAGTGATAGGATACTATCCATTTGCCTCTAAGAAGGATCAGTAAATATACCAGTATTCAAATTTGTGCACCAACTATTAATTCCAAAGATGAAGAAATTGAAGATTTTTACCTGGTTTTGCAGTCCGAAATTTCTCAAACATGCAATCAAGTAATCATGCTGGTGATTGCAATTCGGAAGTTGTAAACAAGAATAAGGATTGGTAGCTGGAAAATAGGATATCGGTGATAGAAACGACACTGGCGAGTGCATGATAGAATTTTACGAGACCAACATCATGAATACCTTTTTTCAACAACATGAATGGTGTTTATACACATGGACCTCATCAGATGGAATACACAGGGATCAAATCTGTGAAAGAGATGATGCAGAAGCACTATATCATCAGTCAAAACGTGGCAATGGCAGACTACAGAACAGACCATCAGTAGGTACATTGCAAATTCAAGTTGAAGCTGAAGAAAATTAAAACAAGCCCAAAAGAGCCAAAGT